ATCTATATTACCTGCACTTGCAAGTAATCTTAACACATCTATCTTATTTCTTAGACTCCTACTATTTGTATAGTAAACCTTAAGGGAGCTAGTCACTCATTCCCCTCTATCATCTCTCTTTGTCGAGCAATTGTTGTGCCTTTTCTAGCAACTTTTAAACATATCCCTGAGGTATTCTGGTAACATCTGCTGTTTTCAACCCCAATGCTGCAGCCTGATTGTTTTCCACAAACACCCATACCTCTATAATTTATCAGTAAATTCCTAGCAAGTCATCAGTGTCCCCCTCAATCGAATTGGATAATGCACCCACTCCAGCCCCAGAGAGATGAACCCCATCCCTAGCATACATATCATGCTTGCCATAGAATTTGTCCCAGTTATCAATGAATGGGATTGCAAGTTCCTTGCAGTACCTGTCTAGCCAAAAATTTATACAAATTGCCCTAGACATCCATTCATTGCCCACTTCCCTTCTAGGCAAGATGCTACATGTGAATGGGATCCTTCCCTTAGACCTGACAACTTCTATGGCTGACCTGTACTTATCCTGCAGCTCCTGTCTCCTGCTCTTCCTGATGTCATTTCACCAGCACTGAGACAGATAATGGGCTTGTTCCCATTACCTAACATAATATTATCCAACCTGCTGACTATGTCATCAACACCATCTCATGGGAGGCAAACCCTCTGTCTGACCTTCATATCTCTGTTACAAAAAGCACAGTCCATATATCTTAGCTGAGAATCTCCTACACTTTGAATTTCTTATCAGCTTGATTACAGGATAAAAGCATTTCAGGAAATCTTAGACAATATTATGACAACAAAGTTGTTTTAAGAAATAGGTAGATAACAGGCTACAAGAATATTAAAGAAAATAAAAAAATGGTAAAGTTTGACTAGTGTAAAAGGTTGAATTTGTTAGTTTATGAACAAACAACTACATATAATGTGCTTTAAGTATATTGTTAAAGCATCTACAACCACAGAATGAATGGATTGTACATGGACAAAAACATACGGTAGTCGAAAAATGCAGAACAAGAAGTACAGAGAATAAACAAAAGTGGAGAACTCAAAAAGCAGTTACGATGTGTTGCATATCAGTTCTTATACAAAATCTCAATCTGTATAGTGCATTTTTTTTTTGTCAAATGTGAATTGAAAAGTGCATCCAAAATTTAATTGGATGTGAAAAAATCTTTATAGCTCGTGTTCGATTTTGAATGCAGCTTTTCAAATTGCATTTTCAAAAAAATAAACTATAGAATAGTTTTATAAGAAAGTTTACTAGTATGGCACATTTAAAACTAGATTTGAAGCAGTTGCTACATAGGGAACCTTTGGTATCTACTGGCAGGAGCTTCCAAATTATAGAGACTTATACATGTAGTGAATTTTTACTCAGGTGGAATTGAACTTGGGAATATCAAAGAGGTACAGTAAAACCTTCTATTAGTGGACTTCTTATTAATGGATTTGGGCAATTCTGGACAAATAAAATTGTCTGGACAAACGTTGCAATCATCGCTACAGACAAAATTCCTAATTCTGGGTTATATCCATAGTGATGGGAGTCTCTCTTAATTTTTTACCAAACGCAATTTTTGTGTATCTTGTTTGCATATGTGAAGTGCTTACATTTATTTCATAAAGCTTTGTGAAGAATTATATAACGTTCATGAGCGACGTTGTCAGGGCAGGGGTGAAGGGGCAAGGAGGTGGTGGTAGGATACCTAGAGTCAGTGAGGAAGGGTCCAGGACCCCAGCAAGGAAGGGTGGACAGTGAGGATAGCCAAGAGTCCGTGAGGAAGGTCCCAGACCCCAGTAATGTAAGGGTGTTGTGTGCGAGTGAGGTCGAGAGCCAGGGAGTCAGTGTGAGGCAGGGTCCATGAGGCGGCGGGGGCACACGGCGGGGGAAGGAGTGTAGCAGTGAGAGTGGCGCTGAGGTGGGCGCTGAGCGGATGTCGAGAGGTCTGGATTGAGACCCGTAGGCGGCTCGGTTCCCTAGCTCTAGTAGAATATTGGATGGTGCACTTCGCGATACATATTAGTGCGTCGCGAAAGGAGTTGTCAGTGACAGTGTATAAGTCTCCAGGAGTCCCAGCAAAGGAGTACTAGTGTGAGGAGCAGGTGAGTTGTGAGGGGGGCGGCCTTACACATCAGTATGTATGGAAAGTGGAGGTGCAGACACTATGCGCGGCGATAGTGAGGTTGATGGTAGGTGGTGGTGGGGTCGATTCAGGTATATAGCACATGAGGAATTAATAGTTCTAGATTCGCACGTCGTGCAGGTTGCACAGTAGATTTGGGATCTCCCTCACACATCTACTCTGCGAGATAGGTAGAGGTGGAGCAATGGAGATAGACCACACACTCCAGGCTCTGAGCATCTAGTCCTCACCACACCGAATACACAAAGCAAGGAGGTGGGAGCAGTCAGGATTGCCAAGAGTCAGTAGACGAGGAAGGTCCCAGGGACCGACACAGCAAGTGAGGCTAGGCAGTAAGGATAACCAAGAACAGTGCAGGAAGGTCCAGGATGCCTCACCAAGGAAGGTGGGCAGTACAGGATAGCCAAGAGTCAGTGACGAGGGTCCAAGACCTCACAGGAAGGGGTAAATAGACACATGTGCAAGCTCTTGGGTATCTTTATTCTGAGATGCGAGCGACTACGCTCTTTGACGACTCACACAGTGTGCGATCATCAGTCCATAGCGCGCGCGAGTGCGAGCAATCTTGAAGAATAGGAAGAGAATGAGGTAATCAGTCCCTCAACCTATTCTTCAAGATTCTCCTTTGTATGGACTGATGAAGCCACTGTGTGGCGAAACGTTTTCCCTCAATAAAGAACCCAAGAGTGCACATGTGTCTAAATCATCAACATGTCGTTTCTTTCTCATGAACCATTCATCTACAAAGGAAGGTGGGCATTAGGATAGGCAAGAGTCAGTGAGGAAGGTCCAAGACCCCAGCAAGGAGGGTGGGCAGTAGGATAGCCAAGAGTCAGTGAGGAGGGTGCCAGACACCAGCAAGGAGGGTGGCCAGTAGGCTAGCCAAGAGTCAGTGAGGAAGGTCCAAGACCCCAGTAAGGAGAGTGGGCAGTAAGATAGTCAAGAGTCAGTGAGGAAGGTCCAAGACCTCAGCAAGGAAGGTGGGAAGTAGGATAGCCAAGAGCCAGTGATGAAGGTCCCAGACCCCAGCAAGAAGGGTGGGCAGTAGGATGTACAACAGTCAGTGAGGAAGTACAAAAACCTCCAGCAAGTATGCGCGTGTAGTGTTGCGCGTGAGCGTGGATAGCCAAGAGTCAGTGAGGAAGGCCAAGACCGCCAGCAAGAAGGTGGGCAGTAGAATAGCCAAGAGGTCAGTAGGAAGGTCCCAGACCCCTCAGCAAGGAGGGTGAGGCAGGTGATGAGAATAGCCAAATAGCCAGTATTGATGAAAGAGAGTTAGTCTCGCGCGCGCCCAGCAAAAGGAAAGGTCTAGGCGCGATGAGCGTGTGAATAGTGCGCGCGCGAAAATGCAGTGAGAAGAAAATGGATCTCCTCTCCTTACTAGCAGGCATGGTATGGGGCAGTAGGTGCTATAGCCAAGATGACCATGTGAGGAAAGACCCAGACCCCTGCAAGGAACAGAGTTGTAGTGATGGCAGTGACAGGATAGCCAAGGGAAGCCAGTGAGGAGGGGGAGGGGGGGCCCATCATTATAACAACACTCATCCAAGGAGAAACCGGAGCGAAGCGAGAGCGACACAATAAATAGCCAAGAGGCAGTGATGGAAGGGCCAAGACCCCAGTTATAATAGGTGGGCAGTAGGATAGCCAAGAGCGCAGTGAGGAAGGTCCAAGACCCCAACAAGAAAGGTGGGCCGTAGGATAGCCAAGAGTCAGTGAGGAAGGTCCAAGACCCCAGCAAGGAGGGTGGGCAGTAGGATAGCCAAGAGCCAGTAAGGAAGGTCCCAGACCCCAGTAAGGAGGGTGGGCAGTAGGATAGCCAGGACTCAGTGAGGAAGGTCCCAGACCCCAGCAAGGAGGCTTGGCAGTAGGGTAGCCAAGAGTCAGTGAGGAAGGTTCCAGACCCCAGCAATGAAGATAGGCAGTAGGATACCCAAGAGCCAGTGAGGAGCGTCCCAGACCCCAGCAAGGACGGTGGGCAGTAGGATAGATTAGAGTCAGTGATGAAGGTCCCATACCCTAGCAATGAAGGTGGGCAGTAATATAGCGATGAGCCAGTGTGGAATGTCCCAGTCCCCAGCAAGTAAGGTGGGCAGTAGGATAGGCAAAAGCCAGTGAGGAAGGTCCCAGACTCCAGCATGGAGGGTGGGCAGTAGAATAGCCACGAGCCAGTGAGGAAGGTCCCAGACCCCGGCAAAAAAGGTGGGCAGTAGGATAGCCAAGAGTCAGTGAGAAAGGTCCCAGACCCCAGCAAGTAAGGGTGGGCTTAGGATAGCCAAGTGTCAGAGAAAAGATCCCAGGCCTCCCAGTAAGGAGGGTGGGCAGTAGGATAGCCAAGAGTCAATGAGGAAGGTCCCAGACCCCAGCAAGTAAGGTGGGCAGTAGGATAGCCAAGTGTCAATGAAGAAGATCCCAGGCCCCAGTAAGGAGGGTGGGCAGTAGGATAGCCAAGAGTCAGTGAGGAAGGTCCCAGAATCCAGCAAGGAGGGTGGCAGTAGATAGCCAAAGTCAATGAGGAAGGTCCCAGACGCCCAGCAAGTAAGGGGGCAGTAGGAATAAGCCAAGTGTCACATGAAGAAGAACCCAGCCCCAGTAAGGAGGGTGGGCAGTAGGATAGCCTAGAGTCAGTGAGGAAGGTCCCAGACCCCAGCAAGGAGGCTGGGCATTAGGATAGCCAATATCAGTGAGGAAGGTCCAAGACCCCGAGCAAAGAGGGTGGGCCAGTAGATAAGCCAAGAACCAGTAAGAATGGTCCCAGACCCAGCAAGGAGGGTGGGCAGTAGAATAGCCAAGAGCAGTGTGTATGTCCCAGACCCTCAGCAGGAAGGTGGGCAGTAGGATAGCCAGAGCCACTGATGAAATCCCAGAACCCCAGCAAGGAAGACTGGGCAGTATAATAACCAAGAGCCATGAAGAAGGTCCCAGACCCCAGGAAGGAGGTGGGCAGCAGATAGCCAAGACCAGTGAGAAGGTCCCAGACCCAAGCAAGGAGGGTGGGCAGTAAGGATAGCCAATAGCCAGCGAGGAAGGTCCCAGATCCCAGCAAGGAGGGTGGGCAGTAGGGTAGCCTTGAGCCAGTGAGGATGGTCCCAGACCCCAGCAAGGAATGTGGGGCAGAAGTAGGATATCTAAGAGTCAGTGAGGAAGGTCCCAGAACCCCAGCAAGGAAGTGGGCAGTAGGATAGCAAGAGTCAGTAAGGAAGGTCCAGACCCCAGCAAGAAGGTGGGCAGTAGGATACTAAGAGCTAGTAAGAAAGGTCCCAGACCCCAGCAAGGAGGTGGGCAGTAGGATAGCCAGGAACCATGAGGAAGGTCCCAGACCCTCAGCAAGGAAGGTGGGCAGTAGGATAGCCAAGAGTCAGTGAGGAATGTCCCAGACCCCAGCAACGAAGGTGGGCAGTAGGATAGCCAAGTGCCAGTGAGTAAGGTCCCAGACCCCAGCAAGGAAGGTGGGCAGTAGGATACCCAAGAGGCATTAGGAAGGTCCCAGACCCCAGCAAGGAGGGTAGGCAGTAGGATAGCCAAGAGTCAGTGAGGAAGTTCCAAGACCCCAGCAAGGAATGTGGGCAGTAGGATAGCCAAGAGCCAGTGAGTAAGGTCCCAGACCCCAGCAAGGAACGTGGTCAGTAGGATAGGCAAGAGCCAGTGAGGAAGGTCCCAGACCCCAGCCAGGAAGGTGGGCAGTAGGATAGCCATTAGCCAGTGAGGAAGGTCCCAGACCCCAGCAAGGAAGGTAGGCAGTAGGATAGCCAAGAGTCAGTGAGGAAGGTCCTTGACCCCAGTAAGGAAGGTGGGCAGTATGATAGCCAAGAGCCAGTGAGGAAGGTCCCAGACCCCAGCAAGGAAGGTGGGCAGTAGGATAGCCAAGAGCCAGTGAGGAAGGTCCCAGACCCACATCAAAGGAAGGTGGGCAGTAGATAGCCAAGAGCCATGAGGAAGGGTCCCCAGACACCAGCAAGTAAGGTGGGCAAAAAACAGCGAGTGTCGTGAGGAAGGTCCCAGACCCTGGCAAGGAGGCGGGCAGTAGATAACTAAACCAAGAGCCAGTGGAGGAAGGTTCCCAGACCCTAGCAAGGAAAGAGGGCAGTAGGATAGCCAAGAGTCAGTGAGGAAGGTCCAAGACCCAGAAGACGGTGGGCGTAGGATAGCCAAGAGCCAGAGAGGAGAGTCCAGACCCAATCAAGGAAGCGTGGGCAGTAGATAGCCAAAAATCAGTGAGGAAGATCCCCGACCCCACCCAGCAATGAATCAGGTGGGCTAGAGCAGAATAGCCAAGAGTCAGTGATGAAGGTCCCCCAGACCCCAGCAAGAAAAGGTGGGCAGTAGATAGCCAAGAGCAGCGATGAAGGTCCCAAACCCGAAAGGAAGGTGGGCAGTAGGAATAGGCAAGAGACAGTGGATGAAGGTCCCAGACTCCAAGCAAGGAGGGTGGGCAGTAGGATAGCCTTGAGCCAGTGAGGAAGGTCCCAGATCCCAGCAAGGAAGATGGGCAGTAGGAAACCCAAGAGCCAGTGAGGAAGGTCCCCAGACTCCAGCAAGGAGGGTGGGTATAGATAGCCATGGAGCCAGTGAGGAACGTCCCAGACCCCAGCAAGGAAGGTGGGCAGTAGGATAGCCAAAAGCCAGTGAGGAAGGTCCCAGACCCCAGCATGGATTGTGGGCGGTAGGATAGCCACGAGCCAGTGAGGAAGGTCCTATTCCCCAGCAACGAAGGTGGGCAGTAATATAGCGAAGAGCCAGTGTGGAATGTCACCAGACCCAGCAAGTAAAGGTGGGCAGTAAGGATAGGCAAAAGCCAGTGAGGAAGGTCCCAGGACCCACATGGAGGAGTGGGTCAGTAGGGTAGCCAAAGTCAGTGAGGAAGGTTACAGACCCAGCAAGGAAATGGGCAGTAGGATACCCAAGAGCCAGTGAGGAGCGTTTCAGACCCCACAAGGACGGTGGGCAGTAGGATAGATTAGAGTCAGTGATGAAGGTCCCATACCCTAGCAACGGAAGGTGGGCAGTAATAAAGCGAAGAGCCAGTGTGGATTGTCCCCCAGACCCAGCAATTAAGGTTGGGCAGTAGGATAGGCAAAAGACAGTGAGGAAGGTCCCAGACTCCAGCATGGAGGGTGGCATAGAAATAGCCATGACCCAGTGAGGAAGGTCCCAGAATCACCCAGCAAAAAAGTGGCAGTAGATAGCCAAGATCAGTGAGAAAGTCCCAGATCCCATCAAGTAAGGTGGGCAGTAGGATAGCCAAGTGTCAATGAAAGAAGATCCCAGGCCCCAGTAAGGAGGGTGGGCAAGTAGGATAGCCAAGAGTCAATGAAGGAAGGTCCCCAGAGCCCCTAGCAAGTAAGGTGGCAGTAGGATAGAGCCAAGTTGTCTATGAAGAAGAACCCAGGCCCCATAAGGAGGGTGGGCAGTAGGATACCAAGAGTCAGTGAGGAAGGTCCCAGACCCCAGCAAGGAGGCTGGCAGTGGATAGCAAAGTCAGTGAGGAAGGTCCAAACCCCCAGCAAGGAGGGTGGGCAGTAGGATAGCCAGAGCCAGTGTGAATGTCCCAGACCCCAGCAAGGGAAGGTGTGCAGTAGGATAGCCCATGAGCCACACTGAGGAAGATCCAGACCCACAAAGAAGTCGGGCAGTAGAATAACCAAGAGCCAGTGAAGAAGGTCCCAAACCCCAGGAATGAGGGTGGGCAGCAGGATAGCCAAAAGAGCCCATTGAGGAAGTCGCCAGACCCAAGCAAGGAGGGTGGGCAGTAGGATAGCAAAAGCTAGTGAGGAAAGGTCCCAGACCCCAGCCAGTAAGGTGGGCATTTGATAGCCAATATCCTGCGAGGAAGGTCCCAGACCACAGCAAGGAGGGGTGGGCAGTAGGGTAGGCATAGCCAGTGAAGGTAGGTCCAAGAACCCCAGCAGGGAAGGTGGGGCAGTAGGTATATCCAAGAGTCAGTGAGGAAGGTCCTAGACCCCAGCAAGGAACGTGGGCAGTAGGATAGCCAAGAGTCAGTGAGGAAGGTCCCAGACCCCAGCAAGGAAGGTGGCAGTAGGGATAGCTAAGAGCTAGTAAGAAGGTCCCCAGGACCCCAGCAAGGAGGGTGGGCAGTAGGAAAGCCAGACCATAGAGGAAAGGTCCCCAGACCCCAACAAGGAAGGTGGCAGTAGGATAGGCCAAGAGTCAAGTTGATAAAGCTTACAAGACCCCCCCAGCAAGGAAGGTGGGGCATAGGATAGGCAAGAATCAAAGTGAGGAATGTCCCAGACCCCAGCAAGAAATGGGCATTAGGATAGCCAAGAGCCAGTGAGGAAGGTCCCAGACTCCAGCAAGGAGGGTGGGTAGTAGGATAGCCATTAGCCAGTGAGGAACGTAGCAGACCCCAGCAAGGAAGATGGGCAGTAGGGTAGATTAGGTTCAGTGATGAAGGTCCCATGCCCCAGCAACGAAGGTGGGCAGTAGTATAGCCAGGAGCCAGTGTGGAATGTCCCAGACCCCAGCAAGGAAGGTGGGCAGTAGGATAGGCAAAAGCCAGTGAGGAAGGTCCCAGACCCCAGCATGGAGTGTGGGCAGTAGGATAGCCACGAGTCAGTGAGGAAGGTCCCTGACCCCAGTAAGAAAGGTGGGCAGTAGGATAGCCAAGAGTCAGTGAGGAAGGTCCCTGACCCCAGTAATTAAGGTGGGCAGTAGGATAGCCAAGAGCCAGTGAGGAAGGTCCCAGACCCCAGCAAGGAGGGTGGGCAGTAGGATAGCCATGAGCCAGTGAGGTACATCCCAGACCCCAGCAGGGAAGGTGGGCAGTAGGATATCCAAGAGTCAGTGAGGAAGGTCCCAGACCCCAGCAAGGAACGTGGGCAGTAGGATAGGTAAGAGCCAGTGAGGAAGGTCCCTGACCCCAGTAATTAAGGTGGGCAGTAGGATAGCCAAGAGCCAGTGAGAAAGGTCCCAGACCCCAGCAAGAAGGTTGGCAGTAAGATAGGAAGGCCAGTGAGAAGGTCCCAACCCCAGCAAGAGAGGTGGGCCAGTAGGATAGGCAAAGAGCCAGTGAGAAGGACCCAGACCCCAGCCTGGAAGGTGGGCAGTAGGACAGCCAAGAGCCAGTGAGGAAGGTCCCAGACACCAGCAAGGAAGGTGAGGAAAAGGATAGCGAAGATTCAGTGAGGAAGGTCCCAGACCCTGGCAAGTAGGCTGGGCAGTAGGATAGCCAATAGTCAGTGAGGAAGGTCCCAGACCCCAGCAAGGAGGGTGGGCCAGTAGGATAGCTAAGAGCCAGTGAGGAAGGTTCCGGACCCCAGCAAGGAAGGTGGGCAGTAGGATAGCCAAGAGTCAGTGAGGAAGGTCCCAGACCCCAGCTAGGAAGGTTGGCAGTACGATAGCCAAGAGTCAGTGAGGAAGGTCCGAGACCTCGGCGAGGAGGGTGGGCAGTAGGATAGCCATTAGCCAGTGAGGAAGGTCCCAGAGCCCCAGTAAAACAAGGAAGGTAGGCAGTAGATAGCCAAGAGCCAGTGAGGAAGGTCCCGGACCCAGCAAGGACGTTGGGGCATAAATAGCAAGAGCCAGTGAGGAAGGGTCCCAGACCCTAACAAGGAGGTGGCATTAGGATAGCCAAGAGTCAGTGAGGAAGGTCCTAACCCCAGCAAGGAAGGTGGGCAGTAGAATATTTAAGAAATCAGTGAGGAAGGTCCCAGACCAACGGCAAGAAGGTGGCAGTAGATAGCCCAAGAGTCAGTAGGAATGTCCCAGACCCCAGCAAGGCGCGTGGCAGTAGGATAGCCATTAGTCAGTGGAGGAAGGTCCCAGACCTCCGCAATGACGTGGCAGCAGGATAGCCAAGAGTCAGTGAAGAAGGTCCAGACCCCAGCAAGGGAAGGTGGGCTGTACGATTTGCAAAAGGGGGCGATTGAGGACGGTCCCAGACCCCAACAAATAAGGTGGGCGTAGGATAGCCAAGAGCCATGTGAGGAAGGTCCCCCCCACCCCTAGACCCCAGCAAAGGAAGGTGGGCAGTAGAATAGTTAA